CTACAGGGACCACAAGCTAAAACCGTGATTTTTTGTTCAATCAATGGCCATAATTCAGGAAGTTATGATCCGATATGAGTAAATATATTATTAGGAACCAAGATCTTTGGGTTATAAACTTTCATTTGAAGTTTCATCAAAATCAAAAGAAAATTATGACCTCTAGAGGGACCACAACATTGATATACCATATTTTTGCGTAATTTGAGTATGAGGGGCGGCCATTTTGCCTGTCAGTTTTAGTCCGATTTTTACGATTTAGTAAAATTCGAACTCAACCATCCTTAGGGTGTAACGGTGATATACTAAAACGTTTTTTTTTTTAAATCGGATATAATTATGACCTCTATAGCCTCCACAATCTAAAAACGCGCTTCTTCGTACAACCAGGGGTCATAATTCAGGAAGTTATGGTCCGATATCCGCGAATATCGAAAGGGACCAAGATCTTTGGGTTATAAGCTTACATTTTAAGTTTCAACGAAATCGGATAAAAATTGTGACCTCTATAGGGTCTACAAGCTAAAAACGCGATTTTTCATGCAATCAGGGACCATAATCCATGAATTTACGGTCCGATATATGCCAATATCGAAAGGAACCGAGATCTTTGGGAGCTAAACCAATATTTCAAGTTTCGTTGAAATCGGATAAAAATTCTGACCTGTAGAGTGTTCACAAACAATTGTGGACGGGCGGACAGGAGCAACGACAATATACGTCCACATGAAATGTATACTAAGGGTTTCCCTAACTGGCAACCCGGCGATTAGGAATGTCTGCTCGAGTGACGCCAGAGGTTTCACGCTAAGGTACCGCGTCAGCCAAGTTAAGTGACACAAACATGATTTCTTTTAATAGATTTTTATAGCTTGGGGTATTTCCTTGCGTATACAATGTTTTTAAAAGGATTTGAAGCAAAACTTTGATAGATTAATTAGTTTGAATGAGTTTTAAGTCCAAATATATCATCAGATCTCCCAGTTTGTACCGTGAAAGGTACAATGTGTCTTGAAATGTTTTTTTCTTATATAAATGTAACAATTATTATCGTGATAAATATATACATCTAGATAGGTTTTTATTGGCGCTAGGAATATGTTTGCTAACTTTATTTCGAATCCTGCTGCTGGAATATGGGTACATCATTGTCTTGATAATGTAATCATTCATTTAGAACATGTCAATGTGGCTTTGACATATCCAAAAATGGTTTGGCTCCTCAATTCAGGGTACAAAAGTTCCCGAGTGACTTTATTGGTGCTTGTGTCTGTGTAGGCTAATATATGCCAAGTCGTTCTGTATTTGCAGAGCTAATGAGTTATCCTGTTGTTTATTTTGTAAATGTATGATTGTCAAAGAACCTGATGGAACTTGTAAAAATCCCTTTTGAGTGTTATCAACAAATTTCTTATTGTTATTTCATTGTAATTAATTTTGAAATGTTATTTTTTATATTATTAGAGCTTTTTTCACTTAAAAATTGTGTATGAGTTTCCGTGAAAAATTTATAAATGTTTAATAATAAATATATTTTTCACTTTAGTTCGCACAGACAGCTTCATTCTGGCCTTTATTTCATAGACATTGACAGAAAAATATAGCAGGTAGGATAAAATTGAAATAACCTACCACGTTGCTATTGTCCACCCAAGTCCAAAATACTTAATTCGGCACCCACTAAAGATTTCCTCTAAAATAAATTTTCCCTACTCAAACTTTCCTACAGGAGCATAGTCAGATCCAGCACTACTATCCTTGACACGCTCTCAGTCCTCCTGCACAGTGACTTTTGATAATTCCGATGTACTTTCTCTGCCAACACCGAGACCGAACCCGTGACTTTTAGGTTAGCAAACCAGTGTCTTACTCACTTTGCCACTGTGGCTCCAAATATCTATGTATTTAACCAGTTTTGACGAGCCAGCGTGTTACTCACTTAGCCGCTGTGGCTCCAACGACCTATGTAATATTGATAAATAGTGGTATGAGGTTCTTTGGAAAGAGTAAGCGTATCCTATCCCGTGCACTGCGCTGGCCACTATACATATCAGACGTTGATTTTAGAAGCTGGAATTACTGATCCAGCATACTAAAATTTCTGAGATACCACCCCCACGAAATCAGGCCTGGAATACAATCTGAATAGACTATAAGTTAGCAATTATTAATTTTTTGTAGATGGCTATTTGTAATTTACGTGGTGTAGCTTGCATAAGTATAATATATATGTTATTATTTTAACAAGCCAACAGTGAGGCTGATGTACCTCTCCGAAATCCAAAAATAAATAGATGACACATATTAATGAATCGCACATTTATCTTTTTCAAAAGTATCAGGCAATCAAACTGATTATCAACTATACACTAAGTTTCATCACTCTCTATTAGATAGAATCAAAGTTATCTTATCCCAAAGCATCGACCAATGAATGTTTTTAGCTCTGCTTAGCTTTAGCTCGAAATGTTAATCATTGAACTCAGTCAAGACATTCACCTAATGAAAATCTACATCAAGTTTAAACATTCTACCTTAATTAAAAGCAGAGTTGTTATGTTCCAAAGTCTTGGCCATTCAAATTGCGTATCACCCCTTAGCCTAAGCAGAACATTCTCATCATCGAACATATTCAAGGTAATGATATAATGAATCTAAACTCGGAGTTTCATCACTCTCATTTAATTAAAACCAAAGTTATCGTGCCCCAAAGCATCAACCAAGCAGATTGCTTATCTCTGCTTACCGCAAGCAAACAATATTTATCATCGAACTCCATCCAGGCATTCACCTAATGAACGACTACACCAAGTTCGAACATGCTACCTCAATTAGAGGAGTTATTGTGTTCCAAATTGCTCACTATCGAACTTAGTCAAGGTATTGATGTGATAAAACTATACACCAAGTGTCCTCACTCTCACTTATTAGAACTAATGCTATCGTGTTCCAAAGCATCAATCAATAAAATTGATTATCACTGCTTACCCTAAGCATAAAATTCTCATCTTTAAACTCCATCAAGGCATTAACACCTACGCCACGTGTGAACATTCTAGCTGTATTAAAATGAGAGTTATTGTGTTCCAAATTCTCGACCAATCAAATTGCTTATCGCTCCGCTCATCCAAAGCAGAAAATGCTCATTATCGAACTTAGTCATGATATTGATGTAATAAAACTATACACCAAATTTCATCACTCTCACTTAATTAGAACTAATGTTATCGTGTCCCAATACACCAACCAATCAAATTACATATCTCTGGTTACCCTAAACAGAAAATGCTCATCTTCGAACTCCAAGGCATTGACCTAATAAATACCTACTCCAAGTTGGAATGTTCTAGCTCAATAAGAAGCAGAGTTATTGTGTCCCAAAATCTCGGCCAATCAAACTGCTTATCGCTCTGCTTATCATAAGCAGAAAATGCTCATTAGTCAAGGTATTTATATACTTAAAGTATAAACCAATTAATAATATTATTTTTTGGGTTACTGAAATAAACTAATCGTCGCTTAAAATGTATAATTAGAACAAATTAGAGCGTCGACTGTTTCTATTTTTCAGGCTTACTCTGATTTAGGACCACTCAATTCATTTTTATGAATTGCTAGTTTCGAACACAGTCTAATATAACAACTTATCGGTCACGTGAAAATCGACCGTGCATCTGTCTTCGCTCTCTACTTCAATCAGTAATATGTAAGGACAACTGCTGTTTTCCTTTTTTTCCATTAAGTCCCGATTCTCAAAATCTTTGTTACGAGTCAGCTGTTGCAAAGAGCTATTTATATTTTGAATGCGTTTAGTCAAATCAGGGGTCGGTGTTCCAAGCAGCTATTTGGAAATACAAAGTTTGCTTTGTTTTTGATTTCTTTCGCTGCGAACGTTTACTCACAGTTCTGCACCCCACACTATGAGAACACAATTCAACAGTTCATTTCCTTCACATCCTACAAAACGTGGGGTTATTTAACAACTTTTCCAGATCCTGGTACTGAGTGGTAGGACAAGTAAAAAGAAATTTTGAAATATAAAGATACATCATGTGGTTAAATGCATAAAAATAGCTTCGGTAAACACGGGTATATTTTTCACCTTAGGGACCCGGACTCTCAATTTGAACATTGAAAGTGACGTGTTTTCGATTTCCATTCCATTGTCGAAATATTGTGCCAAAAGTCAATTGATATTTGGAAATGATTTTGCCATGTCACTAATATAAATAATACATCGATTCAACATGAATCAGTGCAGTAAACCAAACTATATCTATTTTTATAACGATATGGACATTAGATTGTGATATTTCAAATAAAATCTTTAAGGACACGGTAATTGAATTAAACGATCACAACCAGTGAGTAGCACATATAAAGCAACATAAAGAATCCATTTTTAATTTCAGTTTAATTTATGCTTAGCTTAGATTGTTTAACTGCCTTATTTGTGCCGAAAATGACTTTCGTTTATAAATCATTCAAGTCATGTTGTTGTAAATTACGACATGATGCCGAAACAAATAAACCTTACCTTTACCGTTTAGACTAGGTCATCACGACTTTAGGCAGTGTTGGGGTTGTGTCGTTAGGAAACTGGAATCACAAAGGCAATGTCACGGATTCGAAACCATGTTCTAAATTGCAAGTCTGAAAGTTTAGGTAGTTGTTCGGATTGGGTAGAAAACAGAGTGTACGTGAGGCCTTGGTCCGGGCCAAATATCCCCCCCTCACCCTCCCGGTCCTATCCAGTATAACAAATATCAACAATACTCCATATATATTTGATGCGATGCCAATCGGTTATTTCTATACATGAATCAAATGTACAGTGTAATCAAATGTTATCAGATCTAGATAATGATAATATGTTTCTGGTTGATCTAGTCTATCTTTCCTTGGACAAATGACTGATGCATGTGGCGGAAACGTCCAGACATAAAAAAAACTTTAAAGGTCGTAAATTTTTCAGAATGTTATAAGAGAGAAAGTTATATAAGATGTGCGTTAATCGGGTATATTAAGTGGTGGTTAGTTAGAGCGAAAATCAAGATGTACCAACATCTAATATTGGGAACTCTGTCGCTAGTGCTTGCCATTCAAGCTGCACCTCGACCTGACCAATACCTTACAGCCAGAGATGCTCTACAGCTCTGTAGAGATTTAGGGTAGGTTTTCCTTCATTCCCCTGTTTCTATAACTTATAACATTTCGGATTAGAACATCTTTTTCTAAGTTATGCATTTTGTATGATTTTGTTTGTTTCAACTGATTGTCTTGTTTGTACGATGTGATGTTCGCACGCTGTGTAGTTATTTTTAATGGGTCGGATCAATACTGTTGCCGAGGTCGCTAAAGTTAACCATGCGTTTTAATACTGATACGCAATGAGGCACTGTCTAATTATTCTTTGGAAAACATTTAATACCATTGAATTTATTAAAGGTTACTTTATGGCCCAGTAGTTTAGCTTTCAATATATTTTGCATGTTATCAAACAACAAAAAATATTAGATATATTAAATTATAAGATGAGAACGCATATCTGATGTCCTAGAAAGATAAAACTTGTCCTGCTTCTTGAACGATACCCGTCACTACTTACCGCTAACTGGAGTGTTGGTTTGAACGTGCTTTTACTACTAGTTTTGCATACTGTCTCCTTTACATGTCATAACTTTAATAATATGAAAAGCATATCTTAATCGTTTAAGTGTTCATAGTATATATTATTGTATTCAGTGCCTATCTTTGGTTTGTGGGGTGTTCGGAAGTGAATTGGAATGGGGGTTTAACGGTCTTCTCTTCTCCATACCAACAGGGCTTATGAAGAAGGGTATACGCGGTACAGTGTGCTATGATGACAAGTGTGTCAGGACAGCGGCGCTTCGACCAATTATTATTTGGAATACCAACTGTCAAGGGAGCTGGGTTTTTTCAATCTTCCGATTTTGGGGCTATTGTTCTGAAAGGTCAACATATATCTATCGAAGTGTGCAGAGCACTGTGGTTGCTTGGATTCTTTTTATAAGGCAACGAAAAGATCTTTTAGCCTATTGTTGGGTATTCTTTTAGGCTTGTTATTGAAAACTATAGTATATTTTTATGAAATTGTATTCATTTTACTTTGTATAAGCACCCATTTCACGCTGTTGACAAAAGTTCTGATATTCCGGTAGCAAATCAATTCATAGTATTTTTATGGCAAGATAGGCGGGATAAAGGAAGAATAGAAATTTATTTTCTAAAATAACTTTACGCTTTACAATTTCATAATAAAAAGAACGTATATTGCGAACAGACACCTCAGGCGTGCGATCTTAATTTCACACTTGGTGTCCTAGCAAAATTTATTACTGACGAGAAAGTAGTGGTGCGTTTCGTGAAATTGTTTCTCACTGAAAAACGGGTTTATTCGTTTTACTAATCACGTTGTTCACAAACAAAATTCACGACAAAAGGTAATGAACTTTACACGTTTATACGGTTATGACCAGAAAAATTCATAACATATTTATATGTCCGCGTTCACAGAAAAGGGGAAAAGGTCAAACGCGTTTCTCAATCCAACTGTTGTCTCAATAATCAAACGCTCACGCCCATGTAAAACTCACTTGAAGCTATAACCGTGATACTCAATGCAAGCGCGGTTTATACAAGACGGCGCAGCGTGATAGCAAAGATATAGAGAATCTCCTACCAGTATTTTTTGATATCAAATAAGACGAGTAGGAGATTTTATTTATCACCCAATCCCTTCTTACATGCACAAATAGATAAATATAATTCTTTGCTGTAGATTTCACTTTAACTGAACATGACGGCGTAGTGATACATCATTTGTTGACAGCAATTCAACCATTGCAAAGTCCTTTATATTGACCCGGTGTTTCCATCAAGGTCAATTGAATAACAATAGTTCATTTTTAATAAAAAAAAAAGTTACTTTTAATAAGAAATGGACTGTTCTTTGAAAATAAAAAAAGTAGTTCCTTTTCAACTCCTAAGGAGATATCGCATTAGATTATGAAATATATCATACAAGCGATATCTACTGTAGAATGTATTATTGGGTGATAAAATCCCAATAATCATACTTTGCTATTGAATTTTTATGATCAATATGTAAAGTCCATTTTCGTCGGTTACATTGAAACGCACGCGGAAACGCCTCAAACAAATGGGTTTATGCATCACACAAGTTATATCAAGTCTAATACCGACATCTACAACGTATATATATTTGACACTCTTCGTGTTTACATCATAACTGAGTCTTGTTGATAATACAATCACAGCCTGGACACCACATAAACATGTTTGACACGCCCAGAAACAAACATAAATAACAAGTACAGAAGAAACATAATGGTATTTTTTCCGGTGACATTTTGATGGATTTATCTTGTATATTGTTAACACTTTTAAATCAAATTTACCATTTTAATTTATTTTGTATTGTGTAATATCTTTTAAATCCTTCGCTGGACTTGGTGAATTGTTTCTGCATAAAGTTTAATGAAACTATTCATTTTGTTTTTAAAAATACAACCCAATCACGCATCATTATGATTAAATTTCATCATTACTTTACGGATACAAATAAAGTTTTGTGGGTTCAACACACAATTTAATAATGATTACAATGTAATTTTAAGACTATTTCATATATTTTCAGTGTCGATGTGGATAATTTGGTCTTGGATCAAGACCAAGTCATTTCACCAGTAGAAAACAAGCGACTTCGACAATGTTTCGACATCTTACTATCAGCTGAACAGAACCAACTAACCGAAGCTGCGCTAACGATGGTACTGATGAAGAGATTACAGACTAATCGAGCATTGGGTTATCCCATCCTGGACTTGGTGTCTAAAGGCTTGACTGCTGGCAATCCAGAAAAAATCGTAGCTACGGGGATTAAGACGTTAAGTCGCGTGAAACGACAAATGATGTTTGCTGGTGGTCCTGGTGCCGGTGGTGGTGAGGTTGGTGAGGATCCAGGAAAACGAATGAGAAAAATGAGAATGGGGTTACCACTCGGTGAGCCAGGAGAAGATGTAGGGAAGAGGATGAGAAATCGTGGGATGGCAAGAGGTAGAATGTATCCGCGAATGTATAATTACAGGCCCCCCTACTTCTGGTAAAACTAATAATCATTTCTAACAAATTGTACCTGTGCTATATTTTACTTAGGCTAGATTTAAATGACTGGAGATACCTTCTAACTTATACATCCGACATATAATTCATTTTCCTTCCGGGAACAAAACACAACTATTGCAATTTATAGCACCTCACATCTTGTTTGACCACTCTGTTCGCTACCCTGGACAATTGTCGGGATATAATTGTGGTGATACAATTTGCCCAGACTTGATGTTTGATAGTCTTCAGGTTGGAAGTTCTAGAGGAGAATGTTAAGGATATGCAGGCATTCTGTATAGTCTCGACCATGTCGACCATAGACCAATATAATATATAACTAAAACGCCCGATTATTGACAAGGGTATTCTTTCGGAAAGAAGGGTAGTCCAAAATAAGCACCATATCGCCAAGTTCCTTACTTAAAATTCTGGGAACTGATTATGATTGACGAAATGAATAAAACTGATTTTGAAAATATAATATTAAAAATAACAAGTCGTTATCGAAAATCCAAGCACTGGTCTACCCAGGACCTTCTTTGGAATCTTGAAAATCAATAAAGATCACGTAGTAAATTAAAGCATAAAATTTGTGTATCTGAGAAGTTCATTCTGAAATTTAACATATGATCTAAATGAATATGTCCGATGTTGCTGCGTAGTCAAATCCCGCAAAGTAAAATTTAAAAAAAAAATGTACCGACCACTGGACATTCTCAAAGCGATGGAGCGGCTTCAGGACGGAAAGATCAACATTGACAATCCGTGGTAATTACCGTGTATATTTTAGTTCACAATCGATCTGTTGAGATTGAAGTTTTTACAAATAAGGTTTCAAATCTGCCGGGATAGTTTTGTCTGCTAGGGTTTAAGAGATGCTTATGGTATATTGCCGCATCCTTATTGTAGTCCTGATACTTGCTATGGCATGTCTATATTTACAGGATGAGATACAGACCATATTTTCAATATCGCTATCGTCCACGACCAATTGCAACTACTCCCGCTCCATGGTAATTAAAATTTATAAATACTTTTATTTTAAGTAACACATCGCAGCGTTATGTGCCCCCTTTGTTTGCAATAGCTCTGAGTATGTTTGCATCCAAGAAAATATTTTGGTAAGGCCATGCCAAGTTCGCCCCATCGTGTTTCACACAAGACAATAATACTCACTTAAATGTCAGGGAAAGGAGAGATAACTCTCTCGGGCTATGTTGCTGTAATGCGACAGTACCGAAACGAATGTAATACAAGTGTGAGCCCTGATTGCACGTATTCAAATGCGACCTGGAAAACTGAGACTACAACAAATTCCGAGGCGAAAGTCGAAAAGTCGCTAATAGCGTGGTGTGTTAATTTCCTAATTTCTACTTTTCGAGTTGCATTTTGGCTTGGTATGCGTGTTGGCGCCTTCTTACTGACATCAATAAATACAAAAATATGACTAAGTCGAAAGTCGACAAGACGGTATACAAGTCAAAATGCAAGTCGAAAATAAGAAATTAGGAAAAAATGAGGGGCGCTATTATCGCTGTGTGTAATTTCTTAATTTCCTATTTTCGAGTTGCATTTTGGCTTGTATAGCGTGTTGGCGCCTTCTTACTGACATCAATAAATACAAAAATATGACTAAGTCGAAAGTCGACAAGACGGTATACAAGCCAAAATGCAAGTCGAAAATAAGAAATTAGGAAAAAACGAGGGGCGCTATTATCGCTGTGTGTTATTTCTTAATTTCCTATTTTCGAGTTGAATTTGGCTTGTTGTCGTCTCACATTTTGTCGTAACTTCTATTTTTCGACTTTCGCGTTGTGAAGAGGCGAAAAGTAGAAATTATGAATGGTAGTTATAGGCTTCCATACGAAAGCAATTATCTTAAGTATACTGTAGTACACTTACGTAGTACGCCCAAAAAGAACCTATACCAACAAAAGAAATCCCTATATTATTGAAATGAACTATATTGGTGAAATAATCATTATTAATTAACGGTTATTATGAGGCCAGAGGACAATTTATGTTTTAGCGCCATCTGTTGTCCCTTAATACCCGGTACACCGATTTATAGATGGTTTGTTCTGTACGTTATATTAGCATTTGTATTTATTTCTCATTCAGAATGTGTAAAATGAAGGAAGAAAGACACCCAATAGGAAACTATAATCATTTTAATTTTTGTAGCTGCAGACACATTGATGAAGGTCAGTGTGAGATTGAAAGGGCCTTAAAAGCCAACTCTCACTTCTACGTTCATCAAACACATTGTAAGATGATGTATAGACACTTGTTAATTATACATTTTGAAGAAATAAAACGTAGATTTTCCTTTACTTTTTAATGGAACCGGATGTATAAATAAAGAAAACTGGCTTGACATTAATTGGAGCTGCTATTATATTTAAGTAGCTGTACCTAACAGATCTGATTCATGAGATAGTTCATGCTAACATGACGCCACATCAACGCCTGGAATTTATAACTACGCCTTTTCGTAGGTGGGCGGAGAAAAACTTAAGGGGTTTGTAAAAACTGATACTCACTTGTCAAAGTTGGAGTCTGCGGGACTTACAAGGGAAGTGTACCTTATCGTTCGGAAGGGAAATATTGACGACGTAAACATAGAAATGAAAATTACCGTATTATGCTAGTCACCCCCTCCCCCCTTTCCGCACTCTATCCAAGGAGTTTTTTTTATATCAACTAATATAACATACTCAGCGCAATCATCTAGGGTTTTGAGTATGCCAAAGCTAAATTTTGAGCCGCGTTCACAATTTTGTTCCCATGTTTTTCCGCCCTCCCAGGTTTTGTTTATCCCTGTCAAAGATCCAACGGCGAGTACACCAGGGATCTATAATACACCAAGGCCTTGGTAAGCAACGATAAAATTATTGTATAATGTCACAAACCAAAACATGGTCAAGTTGATGGACGCCAAGCTATTGTATTATCAAGCTGATATTCCCGTTACAACTTATATTATACGACACATTCTTTAACTTTATAACTCATCACAAAACAGTCAGGTTGTAATGCAGCGGTAGCGGATATGGTCTTCAAATAATCTGCAGCTTGGCCCACTACATATCGCAAAACAGGACTCTTTAACCAAGTAGAGATTTATCAGTGATAATAGAATTACGTACAACCACCCTTAAAGTGTAATGAGCATGCTAATACGGTTCTTATAAATAATTAATAGATTTCACAATAACATTTAATATTTACATTTTGTCAACAACAATGTGGGAGTTTATCATGAGAGATGAAGGAGTCAATGCGCTGTTCATTTTAAGTTATCAGATTATGTCTGCATGCCATATTTTAAAGGACAATATTGGTGTCAGTCATATGTGATAGAACAGGTTAAACACGTTCCAAATATAATTTTAACACATTGATCATTGCTACGATAGATGCGTTATGAAAATTTCAAGAAAGGGAAGTGATGAACGCAAAAGGTATTATCCTTCTAGTTCTATATAACTGGCGAACGAAAAAGTGGAGGGAGAGAAGAGAGAGAGAGAGGGGCGGAGAGGATTTAACGTCCACTTGACACAAACTTACTAGGTCATATCGGGACTAATACATGGTTCAATTTTATTTCAATAATTCGCTTGCGCGTTGTGGTCTTTATCAGTGAGAGGAAACCGAAGGACCCGGAGAAAACCCACGAGGTTGGAAGGCGACCCTACTCCTTGTCACGTACAACCGGGGAATCAAAACCACTCTAGGTGACTCAATGACAGACCTTATGATACAGCGCTCATGCTCTAACCATTCGGCCACCCCCCCCACCCCCCGAACGCAAAAGGAAATCAGTTATATAGAAGGATAACTCATCTTTTCATTTTGCGTTCGTCACTACTGTTTCTTGAAATCTTCACGACGCATCTATCGTAGTAATGATCTCTGTGTTAAAATTATATTTGGAACGTGTTTAATCAGTTCTATCACATATGTGATAATGACTGGCACCAATATTGTCCTTTAATATGTACCTGTAGTGGTTAAACGGCGTATCTCTGTTAAGTAATATTCCTATACCACAAGTGGTGTTATTTACTGATAATTTTTTTTTTTATCAGTGCATAGTTTGTAAACATATAGGGGGGTTGGATGGCTGAATGGTAAGCGTGCGCGCGCTGTATCATAAAGTCTGTCATTGAGTCGACTGGCGTGGTTTCGAATCCCCGGTTGTACGTGACAAGTAATAGGGTCGCCTGTCCAACCTCGTGGGTTTTCTCCGGATCCTCCGGTTTCCTCCCACTGCTAAAGACCCCTACGCACAAGCGAATTATTGAAATAAAATTAAACCATATGTTAGTCCCGAAATGACCTAGTTTGTGTCGAGTGGGCGTTAAACCCCATTTCTCTCTCTCTCTCTTGAAAACATATTTAGCCACTCTTTGGGCATGTTGAGATATTAAATCAAAATGAGGAGTTATTGTTAAGTAATGCTTGAACAAGATCAATGAGGAAAACAAAACACATTAGTTGTAAAATCGGTCCGTTACTTTTACCAATTTCTGACATGCTCAGACTGTTCAAATAACGCCATCCTCTAAGTCACGCCCACCTTTCCATGAACGCCGATATTTTTAAGGTGGGCCCATGTGTAGTTTTCGAGAAATAAGGAAATTTGAAAAAAATTAATAATCCGAACAAAAACAGTAGTGTTACACCTAAGGTATGTAGTGTGAAACCCTAATAACGCCTATGATATAAACAGTACAAGCAAAAAAGACTCACAAGGAACAGGAGCCAATTATTTCAATCTAAAATGTATACGTTTTGCTACAACAATACTAAATTCGCAATGCAATACGATAATAACCCGAACAAAAATAATAGTGTTGTACTAGTGTGAAACTGTAATAATAATAATTACATATAATGTAATCAGTGCGAACTAAAGAAGTTACCAAGGAACAGACGCCAATTATTTCATTACAAAATGTATACATTTTTCTACAATACTAAAATCGGAATACAATTAGACGAACGCACTTCATATATTATTACATGGAATCACACATAGCATATAGTTGTAGCATGTCACAGAAAATTAAAGGGCCAATCCCGATAACTTTTTGGAGAATAAAACTGCTTAATTTTGTGTTAAAATGCCTTAAAACCCTTTACCTACGGGCCGAGCAAGTAACTCAATATTTGTGATAAGTTTGCAAATAACTTAAACCCGTCATAGTCCAGGAGCTAATGACAAAATAATATGGTCATCAGTTACAAAAGGTTTGAACACCCAAATACACTTGGTAAATACAATTTTCAAAAATCTAACAAAAAGTCCCACTTTTAGGGCGTGGCCAGGTGGGCTTTAGGACGATCTGACTTGAGGAAAGCCCCAACATTTTTGGTTAGATTTTTGAAAAATATGTTTTCCAAGAATGGATCTTTGTTTCTGGTAAGTTTCAGCCATGTAACTGATGACCATATAAAAAGTCCCATTTTTAGGGTGTGGTCGGACATACTTTAGAGCGATCTGACTTGGGGAAAGCCCCCAAAGTTTTGGTTAGATTTTTGAAAATTGTATTTACCAAGTGTAGATCTTTGTTTCTGGTAGGTTTCAGCCATGTAACTTATGACCATATAAAAAGCCCCATTTTTAGGGTGTGGTCGGACATACTTTAGAGCGGTCTGACTTGGGGAAAGCCCCCAAATTTTTGGTTAGATTTTTAAAAATGGTATTTACCAAGAGTGGATCTTTGTTTCTGGTAAGTTTTAGCCATGTAACTGATGACCATATTATTAGCCCCACGAGGCGATATTGGGTGTGGTCTGACTTGGGGAAAGCCCCGGAAATTTTGGTTAGATTTGTGAAATATTTACTCCGACTACGGATACCATTGTCCCTACAAAGTTTCAGCCATGTAACTTATGACTTAATTTTAGGCCCCCTGGGGCCTACTTTAAGGTGCTGCTGTGGCTATACGCCCCAGCAGTGCCTGATCTGACCAACTGATTTTTACTCGTACGGACACCTGCTACGAATTTGGGGGGTCAAACCTTTTGTAACTGATGACCATATTATTTTGTCATTAGCTCCTGGACTATCAGTCTTCATCTGGAAATGGAGACCGGTGTCCCAAACTGTATTATAGGAGTCTGGATAAAACCAGACCTTTTTTATAAAAATAATGTGTAGGTGATATTTACCGTCTGCTATCAAGTACAACACATGGGCCACTCACTGTATAGACCTCTCAAGAAACGGGAATCGATTATCAGGTCACCCAACGAAAAAATTGACCCGAAATGTTAAAAGGTTTACGTGTCCGGATAAGCAGTTTTGGCGGTCACGTCCAAACGACTCAATATTTTAAGCTGAAATTTTGAGACAAGGTCAATACACCATTCCTATATTTTTTGGTGCTTAAATTTATACGTACTCGGACTTTAATTTTTGAGACTCTATTCTAATCGGAATAGTCCCTTTAAAGATAATCAGTTATCTATTCATGAAATTCTTGTCTTTCTACCTTTTCTTTGATTACCGGTCGTGATTATAGTAAACACAATTCAATAAGTTGTGAATAATGTTGGGTATTATATTAAGGTTAAATCAAGTTGGTATTAATTCAGATGTATCAAACTTGATCAATAATATATATTTATCAGGTTTAGAATCGAGCACTCAAATTTGAACATACGAGATTTCTAATCGTGAACATGATATTTACCAGTAGAAACAATGACATCATCAACTAACCTAGAATAACCGTAGTTTCGACTGTTGGTGGATGAGGATCTGTCGGCCAGCGCTGCATAGTTATTCCCCCGTGTGCTGTCGTCTTCAAAATTTACAAACCATGTTGTCTCGTTAATGTGGGCATCTTTAGCATCAACATACGGTATAGGTAGGCCGTTGTATTCTCTGGTAACTCCGGCATTATTGGTCACAGATGGTTTAGAGTGGGGTGATTTGGGAAGATCACGTGCTGCAGCGTAATACCGCAATATATAACCGAAATTATTACTATTATTACGTAATTTGGTTTAGCACTCTTCTTTCATAAATTTGTTCAGAGGCGCTTTGCAATAAAAAATGTATGGTACATATATTATGCATATATGTAAACTTTAAAAAATTAGAACAATAACAATGAATATAAAAATTTCAAGTAAACATTAATTTAAAAACTAAAATTCAGATGCATAAGACATTAATTTTAAAAGAAAATAAGGGCAGTAAATTGCTTTTAGAACAATATTGTACAACTAGCAATAAGCTTTTCGAAGATAAGTTTTAATAGCCTAAGATTTCTGGTTAGGACATAAACTTCAAAAAGGTTTTGAAGATACGG